TACTGTATTTAAACGAGTAGTGAGCTTGCCGCAGCCAGAAATATATTGTTTTCATGTCTCACGAAACGTTAACATTGATTTTAACTCTAAATTAATATACTATCTATTTTGCTTAAATTATTTTCTTCATCGTGGTGTACTTGCTACTACACCCGTATACCTCTTCGAGTATAATGTAATGTAGGGAGGTAGATACACTTGCGAGCATGTAACGTTTTAAAATCGATCGCTTGTGCTGCAGCAGTGGTTTCGATCTCGGAAACGGACTACGAGCGAAAAATAACCTCCAATGTGTATTATAATCAGATTGACTTTTCGCAAAAATATGAAATTCTATGTATAACGCGTGAATAACGTATTATAATAATATTAACATTTTTTTTTTTACTTATCGCAAAGAACCGACCGGACACTTTTTCGATAACGATGCAGCAGTATTTGACGTCACGCTTGAACAGACAAGTGGGTTTTTGCCTTTTGATCAGTTTCCCGTATCCTATCGGTCATATGTGACATTTTGGTGAAACTATTTTAATTATTGTCACTTAGAGAATGGAGGGGGTAATTAGGAAAAAAAACGCAAATTGAGAATTTCCTCTTTAAGATCCTTAAGCTCTTCCGCTATTAATACGAGATGTAGGAATCTATTTTGCTGATGTAAAATTCAATAAATTGAATTATTAACAGAAATATAGAGTATAGGCAGGCTGTCGTGGTGATAAAATGATCTCGAGTGAATTGTATACGTAGATATATATTTTTACACAAATTTATTTGATTAAGATTTTTTTCTCTGTTTTTTAAGTATAAGCTACAGACCATCGATATGTTTTAAGGTTATACGGTCTTATAATGTATAGATAACATTTTTCAATATTACCGTGAAAGCTGCATAGTTATAGAATATTGCACAATTAGAATAAAGGTTTAATTAAAAAGGTACCCAGGCCTGAAGAAATACAATCATTTAAGTACAATAATTTACTATACATTTTTTTACGAAATATTGAGTAGGTGATGTGTAAAATAGCATATTTTGTAATAAAAAACTTATAGGTCTTGAGTGTTGATGTAAATCGATTGAAAACTATAATATGAGTAAACAGTATTTATTGGTCCTCTGCCTTCAGAAATTAATATTAATAGCTGTTTTTATTTTTATCACGGTGATGTACTTACCTATCTATATCTACAAATCCAATTGTCCAATCTCCATAACATGATACGCACATGATACTATGCGAGTACAATAGTACATAACATATTTTTTAAATCAAGCGTTCGTGCTGCAGCTGTGCTTTCAATCTCGAAAATGGATTACGGAAAAAAACCACCGATATGTATAGAATTACAATCAGCTATAAACTTATCACCACGATATGAAATTCAATGTATAACGTGTATGGTATTATTATTTTTTTTATTCTGAAGAACTTCTTATCATTATAGCCTATAGGCACCTATATTATGATAATATTTTTATTATAAAATATTGTTTCATGAATTTTGAGTGTGTAAAAATGCATTTATTACTGTAACTAAAAATTATGTGTTTTTAATAATTAATAATTATTAGTATTGGTAAATGATGTAAATCGATTGAGAAACATAACGCCAGGAAACAGAATTGATCATGTATCTGCCTTCAAAAAATAGCCTCTAGTTTAAGTCAGTGGTTCTCAATATCTTTGTTCACGGCAATTTTGGGTAATTTTTAAAAATCCCTAAACACTATAATATGCATCAATAGTTCATATTTTCAATAATTTCGTGGCACATCTAAGATTAGTTCGCGGCACACCACGTGAGAACCACTGTTATACACTGTACACGTATCATCTTAGATTATATTATGATATTAATACTTAATAGTATAATATTATTAAGTTTAATGTTCGATATAATATTTCGTTCTTCGACATTTCTATAAAAATGACATGCTTAGAATACGAAATGTAAGACCAGTTTTAACCCTCAGAATTTCAACCCAGCAGTGGGCCTGTTCAGAACGTCACGATAATATTATATATACCTGTACCTGCATAATCGGGATCGTTATGGAATTTAATACTTATTGAAAACCAAGTAGGACAACGGCCATCTAGCGAAAACACTTATAACATATTTTTATTCATTAATAGTTTCACACTTCAAGTATCTTTGATGTACATACCAATACATATTGAATAACCATTAGTAAACACTTTTTAGTAATTATTTAATATTTAATTTTGCATCTACGTTTACTGTTTAATATTGTTTTAAATTATGTTTAATTTATATTGAGTAACTGTTTTTTAACTCTCTGCTCTCTTTCACTAGCTTGCTTTTTGGGACAGCTTCATCAAAGTACCTACTATTTGTTTTTTGTTTGAAATTTATTTTCATTGAATATTGAATAATTTGTGCCTAATTCGTAATTGATGATGATTCAATAAAATATTATTAAACATCAAAATGTACCTATGATAATGCGTACGGTTGTACCTAAAGCGATTGAAAAAGACGAATAGTGGGCAAATATAGGTAACTGCTCTAAAGTACAGCGTATAGGTGTCAAGTGTACCTCGTCATTGAATGGGTCACTGTAATAATTAAATGGAAGTATTAAATTTAAATTCATTTCTAAACCAGGTGTATACGATGAAATTCGATTCTGAGCGAAAATGGCCAGGATGGTTATTAAACAATGTTTTTATAATTATAAGCATAGACATTTCAACAAATATTCATGCTGTTTTTTTGTTCTCCCCGATTATTTAAAAAAAGACCTGAGAAACTTCTTCTTCTAATCGACCAATGTACAATTTACTACCATAAGGTAGTCTTTCGAAGCTGATGATTGGAACATTTTTTTACTATAGAAAAGGTGTCTTAAGACACAAAATTAAAAACACATCGTTGCAACATCAATGCATTTATCGCTTCGTTCAGAACCTAACACGTTAAAAAATAATCGAAGGATGAAACAAACGAGGGAGAATTATCTGTACCTACCTGTTGTGGCTTAAAATATTATAATGTTTCGAGATGAATACCGGGAGTAATCGCGAAAAACCATTTTCTTTTTTCGGAAACTTTTGGAGATATACACTGCGCATTTCTCGTCTTAATGGGGAGAATAATATTATTATAATACGCACCAAATTCCCACCTGTTTTTGAGACGCAATAATTTATATTTTATTACGGTCGGAATATTCATGCCAGCGAGGCGCACCGCACGAATTTTTATTAAACCTAATCCGGTGCAGCAGCACATTACCTGCAACCATATTATATATTATAATATTATTGTTGTACATTATAACATACATAACGGAGTATAAAAGGTAAACTTGTGTTAATATATTATACTTTCTTGCTTGCTTACTCTACTTGTAAGTACCTACCTCGGGCGGTTGTGCAATCATCGACTGTATATACGATAAACACTAGTCGCACGGTGACTTTTTTTTATTTTTCTCTGCCATTGCACGGTCCTACATCATAATAAACTAGTATAATACCGTTCGTTTTGCACACGTTCGTTATTCCGTCCAAGGCCGGCCCGAACGAATAAAATATTTTGCGGGCCGTCGAAATCATTATAATAATAATATAAAACGTCATCACAAAGACGATTTTTTTTTTTGTGGCTGAGATATACTATATATAATACTTATGTCATGACTTATTTATTTTATAATAATAATATTATGATAATATTAATATAGTACGCGATTGCGTCGACGATCGATCGCGCGGAATAACAATACTCGTTATTATAATATTGTTATACGAATTCGAGGGGCGTTTGGTAGGGTAAATGAGTGACTGGGTGAAGGTGGGGAGGGAAAAAACCCCGCGAATCCGTAGTTTTGTAACGACGACACGCGTGTCGAAAATTCACGCGGTCGCCTCGGCGTGCAAGAGAGAGTACGCGCATAATAATAATAATAATAATAATAATAACAATAATGTGTAATCATTTTTTTATCGACGGTGAGACGGTCGTGTGTGCCACATATTAATAATAACATAATATTTCATTTTTTATTTTTTATTATTATATCACAATATTATATAGCCAGTGTGTCGTCCGGTGACGGTACCTCCCACTACCTACCTAGATACAGTTTATATTCGTCTGGCACGCCGAAGTGCAATACTTTCGTCGACTTCTGCCCGAACCCGAGATTTCAAAACGAAACTCTATAGTTCGATTGTGATTTTTTTACTATTATTGTTATTTTTTCACCAGAGATTAAAATCTTACGAGATGTCGAGATCGTATTGTCCAGAAAAAAACGCTTGCAGAAATAGTTTAGATTATGCTCCTTTTACAATGGGACACCTAATATTATTTTAATACAATATAAAAATATGAGTAAACATTTTTTTTCTCTTTATATTCTTAATCAACCTGTTAATATTATTTATTGAAGTATAATATTATTTTATTATCAGTCGTCATTAGCTTATCATTGGAATCGTGTTTCGCATTAGGTGTCTAATGTAAAATATATAACAAAATACGATTGCTCATTTTAACCTTGAGTAGTTTTTAAACAGTGTTAACGTGTATAAAATACTTTTATAGGTGCTTATGAATTCATTGTACAATAAGTGATCTTTACACACTGTACACACTGCAGGTTACTATTTACATTTAGCAAGTGATGAAATGGTTAAAAATAATTTATTATTTCCCAAAATTAAAATTGTATTAGTATTTATTATAAATTCTATATAGTTTTCATTTATTATCAATTACGTTAGGTGTGTTTTGTATGTGTTATTTTAAGTATAAGGTATTGAAAATTAAAAATACTATTTTGTGCTATTGGAAAACAACTAGGTAATTTGACCATACCAAAATATCGAAATCGCTAATTGAATACTTACTACTTACAATGACTTATATCATGCAACTTGAGAATATAATTTATTAATCGATAATAGTGAATAATTTAAATCTGTTTACTAAATTTTGTTTTTTTTTTGTTTTGTTTAATATAGGTTGAATACACACACGTAGGATACAGATACAACCTTCAAGATGTTGAACACTGTAATCGAAGGGTATAACACCCTAATGAACGATTACAGTGGTAAGTACATTTTAATATGATCATTATAATTATAACGATTTTAAACAGTATTTCATTAAAAATAAAATCATTGATAATTTTTATTTCAATGGATTAATTACTATCTTAATTTTTTCTACACATTTCCATACATGATTACATCGACAGTAAATTGATGTCTTCTATAAAAAAATATTTCAAAATTAATTCGAAACTTTTAACAATATCAATATAATCATATTCGGTTTATTACGAATTTCAATATTCTCAATAAAGAGTTATTAAAGTTAGTACTTTCATAATAAAGTTACAGTTGTTTTTGATTATCGAATAGGAAATGCATATTAATTTCATTTTTTTTTAAATGTTGCCAATAAAAATAAATGTAATATTTTGTTTGGTATTCTGGGGACTTACTATAATATTTTTTTATTTTCAGACAAAAGGGTTAAGGATTGGTTCCTTATGAGCAGCCCTTTACCTACCATGGCCATGTGCCTGACATATGCGTTCATCGTAAAGATTTTGGGACCGAGGTTGATGAGAGACCGCAAACCATTCCAACTGCGAAAAACATTAATTGTCTACAATTTACTGCAAGTCATATTCTCCTCTTGGATTTTCTTTGAAGCATGGGACGGTGCATGGGGAAACGGTTACAGTCTTCGATGCGAACCTGTCGATTACTCGACATCTCCGGCCGCTATGAGAGTAAGTCCGTCGATAAAACATAAAATGAATTTAATCAATAGTGTCCCGCATAATAAGCGCCTATGTTTTGAACACCATAAAACAATGAGAAAAATTGGGATGAGATAAAAAAATAAAATAAAGACATTATTTTCTAACATTGAGACGAGTGATTCAAAATCAACGTTTTTTATTGGACACACTATAGCAATGTACATTTATATTTAATTTTGTCGTGTCGTAAATTGCCCGACCACTCTGCACTGTGGTGTTACGAAATTTCCTACCTAAAATGCCGTCTTACACGTATCGATTTTTATTTGCAGGTAGCTCGAGGCTGCTGGTGGTACTACTTTTCTAAATTCACGGAATTCTTCGATACCGTAAGTGAATACGCTTGTGATATTCAAGTGGTAAAACCGATCTTGTCAAATATTAAAGGTTGTTTTTTTGTGTGTTTATTTAGTTCTTTTTCGTTATGCGCAAGAAATACGATCAAGTATCCACCCTGCACGTCATTCACCACGGAATCATGCCGATGAGCGTGTGGTTCGGCGTCAAGTTCACACCCGGTGAGTCTCCCTACCAGATGGATTTGAGTAGAAATTAAATTTCATTACGTTATTTTAATTTATTTTCATGTTTATTTATATAGGCGGTCACAGTACGTTCTTCGGGCTGCTCAACACATTCGTGCACATTATCATGTACTCGTACTACATGTTGGCCGCTATTGGACCACAAATGCAAAAGTACCTCTGGTGGAAGAAATACTTGACTGTACTCCAAATGGTACATAAATATTATTATTAAATCAGCAAGTGTGGGTCACAACTCACAACTTGCAGTATATGGCTGTATATAAAGTGCAAAACCTCAGAGCGATAATATTTTCGACATTGTTTCGTCCGTGTTTCAGGTCCAATTCATTATGGTGTTCATTCACGCGTCCCAGTTGCTGTTCACTGAGTGCGATTACCCGAAGGCATTCGCTTGGATCATCTTGCTGCACGCCGTCATGTTCTACTTCCTGTTCTATAACTTCTACCAACAATCGTACAAGAAAAGGGTAAGTTGAGATGATTACTAGAAAATTCTAACGATAAAAGACGATGCCCTTCAGTTACAGTATACTCAGAGTTCTTGGATAATATTTCAAAAACACAATAATTTCGAAAAAAATAACATGAGTTTTGGTCAACCAATAGTTTGAACCTATATATATATATATATATCATACTTTAAGGTTCCAATAACGAATCTTTGAAAAGGGAACAAGGGAATTATTTGAGGGTGGCTGCCATTGCATGCAACACAACCCGATCACTATCTATGGATTCTACATAGTATATATATATATACAATCGTTGAAGTTGTATATTGCGGCTCAAACAGGAGCTTTTAAAGTATTCTAAATTTCGATTAGACATAATATTTAAAATTTTGAGAAAGTAAATTCATAGAAGACTCTAAAATTTTGAAAACACATTAAAAGTGTATATATATATGTAGTTACTACTAGTCAATATATCTTTTGAGTGCATATTGTATGCGCTCTGCAGTCCAACCACCTCTAAACACTAATATCCAAAACGTAGTATACAATATTATTATATTAAAATGAAATTGAAAATTAATCTTGAACATTTTGCGCAGGAGGACAAGAAGGTGGCTCAAAAGAAGAAGGACGACGATGATCGGGCACACAATCGGCCTGTGGACCCTCCGACTAACCAAAGCAAATCAATCTGGTCCTACCTGACGTCGACGCCGTGCTTCCTGCCCGCCGTCACGGACACCGATAGCTGCGACGAGTTGTACTCGCGACCACCTGTCAACGGAGCGGCTTGCAGCGCGTTCATGTCTGACGATTCCTTTCGCAACAGGGCGTTTGTGTCCAAGTCAGCAAATGCGTGATAAAATAGGCTCATAGCTCTCCCACCCCCTGCCCCTGCCCCCCACCGCCAAACTATTGAAAAACCACCCATGTCACCATCTACGGATAGTTCGCGCCCCATAAATCAACGATAACCGAAACGAAAACGTGCAAAATAACAATATAACAACATAATAATAAATAAACTAAACTGCGTGTACAATATTGTGTACCGGCCAAACCCGAAAATGCATTCTCAATTAATTTGTAAGACGATCGCGACATCGTTCGTTTTTATTTCCAACGACCTCCTAGGTTTTTGACTGACTCATTATTTGATTTCCGGGATACAATTATGATAACAATATGATATACCATCACTTTTGTTTGTGCAAATTTTTCAATACATTTCGATACGTAATTATTATTATTGTTATTTACGAGTATTTTGTTTCGCACGACTTCAACGAAAGCTCAAAAACAAAGAAAATTAATTCAATTCTCAGTGTGTTCATTGGCGATCTGACAATTTCTCGTATATAACGTATTATCACATAGGCCCATAGGGCTGCAGTCGTATATTATATTATTATTATTATTATTATAAATATTATTATTATTATTATTATTATTATTATTATTATTATTATTATTATTATTATTATTATTATTATTTTTACTATGATAACTATTTTTATTATTATTACTATTATATGCTGCACATGCGGTCGTCTGTCGTCGTCTTTCGACATCACAGGACTGGATAACGTTAATATTATTGTCATTACACTTACAGTCCATCACGACAGCGTGACCGTTAGTCATAATCAATTTAATATCATTAACTTTTACTATAGATTTACTCATCGTATATTAAGTTGTCTAGATATTATATCTTATGAATTAATCGTTGAGGGTACGACAGTCGTACGTAAAATGTATAATAATATGCGTGTATGCGAATATGCGGCGAGGCAAGGAGGTTAAAAAAAATAATGAACAATACCATTGTATACAATGACAGAAATCTCAATGTGTTGGTTGATTCAACTCTTCAAGAGGTCTCCGTTATTGTGTATGATAATATTATACGGTATTGGTATATAGAATTCTGTAACCCATTTCTCGATTTGTTTTTTTTTTGTTATTTTTTTGTATTTAATATGTATAATACCTATAAACTATAATATGCACTTATGCCAATCGTAGGTACAAATTGGTATGAAGAAAAAAGAATTAAAAATTATTACGAAATGGTTATGTAAAAAATCGTAGCTCCGTTATCGTGCGAGTTGTTTGACTGTACACTTTGCAACTCTCCACTTGTTTATAATGTTAAAACGTAGTCGAACAGACTATTATTATGATACCTAGTAAGTTATATTATTATGTAATTTAAATAATATTATGTAATAATCAGTCATTTATAGTGCCCTGTATTTCTTGCCTTGTTTAATTAAATATTAATTGTATGATTGAAATATAAATAAAAATGATGTAATATTTTTAATTCATTATTTGATTTCTTATTTTGGTCGCATTAGTGAAAAATTCGGTATTAATATATTATATAATATACAGCTATTTATGTATAAAAATAGGTGCATTTCCCTGGCACCCCCACTTCCGAATTTTGGATTCAAACCAAGGGCTTTCGTTTGTGCTACGTTTGTGCTGGATTGTGCTCGAATTTCATCGTTTATGCTGCAACCCCTAATTAACTACAGGGGATCATTAGTGGGAGGGGGTGGTATGGAGCCATAATTCAGCCTCGATTCAAAATATTTTATCTCCAAATGAGCCAATCTTTAGTAGTTTGCTACTGATATCCTGTACCACTTATTCGAGGTCAGTACTTTACTACTTCCGGAGTTATCCTTATAAACTTAATTAGGGGGTTGTAAAGACGTGCCGGCACCCCCCATATTGAATTGTTTGGTTCAAATCAGTCCCATGGTACCTATATACCTAATATCCAGGTCTGAAGCTATCTATGTATTTTTATTTTACCCTGATACCTGAGTTATAACTCACAAAAATTGTAATACAAGTTACAACTCACAATTTATTGTTTTTTAATATTATTGGATTTTTAATCATCATCAATGTATTCTAACTTTTTATTAACTTAATACTGTCTGTTGAATAATTTGGCTGGATTATCTACTTAATAGTATAATAAATATTATTTAAAAATTTTTTTATTTTTTTTGATACAGGTTCTGGCTATACGGCCGTTAAAAATTATAAAAACATAATTATTGTACATATACATAATATAGGCTGCCTATTTTATTCACAAAAAGTTTACATGGGTAACTATAAGGTAACCTATATATCATTATGTAGACAGTTGTAACTACAACCACTATACAGTATAAGTACTTACTGGCTATCAATTCTCATTCGATTTTACTGCAGCCATTTCGCTGGCACCCCCACAAAAGATCCGTTCTATCTCATAAGGGTTTGCAGCACAAACGATGAAACTCGAGCACAATCCAGCACAGACGTAGCACAATCGAAAGCCCTTGGTTTGAATCCAAAATTCGGAAGTGGGGGTGCCAGGGAAATGCACCTTATAAAAATTCGTAAAAATAACAAATATTAATAATATTTATATGTAATTACTAGTAACAGAGAACGTATTACTTCATTAGTTACCACAATAAATATTTATATGCAGTAATAGTGAGCGACTTTCAACTAGTAAAATATATTCATTTTTATTATTTATACACATTTTGCAAAGCAAACAATACATTTATATATCTATGCAAAGGCAAACTAAACTTCATTATTTTTTTAGTTTTTTGCTTATTATTAATGAACATTTAATATTAAGTGTTAGTCATTAGATACCGACAATAACAACAAAGTTGTCGATTTAAAATTTGATTACCTAGAAATGGCTAGAATAGTAATATAGACAATAGTAATAGTTTTTACAGTCATATAATAAATAAATAACTTTTTAACAGTTTACTTCTAATAATGTTATATTTCTTGAAATGCTGCCTTCAAAAATCCCATAGTTAAGACCTAATATCACTGCTGAGATAGCCAAAATGAGCAATATTACTCGACTCACAGTTGATAAGCCAATTATATCAACATAGGATAACTCACATAATCTCTAAAATCACCTGACTGAGCTAATGCCCAACTAGTTTAATAAATGGCTAGCTATAAATACTTTAAGTTAATCAAAGTTGATCAAAATTTATCATATGAATACTTAAAATCATCTTTTCACTTTTCGCTATTTTGCTTCCTGTCTTGAAGTCTCTTTAGGTAATTCCCAATTCCATATTTCCAATCGTTATTAATTCTTTAGGCCTACTATTTAACCATCGTCTCACCTGGACAGGCACTCATTATAGAAACAAAAACTCACATTAAATGCCTATCTCCGTTTGATCAAAACATTAATACCCAACCAACATATAAAATTAAAATAAATATAACAATTTACATTCATAAACCTTATTAGATTATGCCGAATTGGACTTCTGATCTCCAACTCTGGAGAAATACCAACAATTCCAATCCCAAATACAAGACTCTACGCACAATCACTAATGCACCATCATGTATTTTCAATTTTATTTAAATTTATAAATTAATACTATTAATGCAGAAGCAAAAGCATTCTATTTACGACTTTTATTTTATAATAGACTCCCTTTCCATCCCGACCTCTTTATATCAAATATAGCCACTCGTATATTTCCCGGAAATCCCTCGATACGACTGAAAAGGTACTGGTGTAGATATATTCTCATTTAATAAATAGTATACAAATAAAGACAGAAAAATAAAATATAATATATCGCTATCACTGGGTGACTTCATCCCTCACGTTTTTATGTAAATAGTCTTGTATTGTATATTATTATTGCGCCCTAGGGGCAAGGGCACGGATTTTATATATATATTTTTTAAATATTTAATAAACAAAAACATAATAGGTACACTTTAAATCAATAACACATCGTAAACGCAAATGCAAACAGTACCTAAAAATAATATTCTAAAAATTAAAAGCTCTATACACATAATATAGGGTGGTTCAAACATGAATTTCGGTTTAGCTCATGAATATCGAATAATATTTTGTTTATGTATAAGGTTGCATATTAGTTACAAAAATTAAATGTAAAAAAAATGTTTGGATTAACCATGCATTGGTATGGTATTTTTCAAAAACAATATAAACTAGTATTTAATTTATTGTTTGCTATCCAAATTTTCAACCGAAGCCCAAAAACAATGTATTTATGTTTGTAGCTTAAAGTCTAAGAAATTACTCAAATAATTTTGACAAAAGTCTTAAAGATTGTTTTTATAAATATCAAAAAAGTGTATAAAGTAGTTTGAATCACACACTAAAATATACCAAGTGCTATATCTAATTCATCTGTAGCCCGTCTCTATCAAATTAGTAAATTAAAAAAACTGGTTATACCAATGCCGATCTGCCCTTTAACTGAAGTACACTAAAACTGAGATACACTGAAACAGTGCAGTTTTTTCATGTTAGCTCATTTTTATTTTATCATAACTTATAAAATGACATTCCTATAACATGTAAACTATTGCCGATTACCACTATGATATAATTATTTATTATTATTATGTATTAGGTCTTGTTTATTAAAGATGTGGCGCTACTTAAAAAAATTGTTATCAAATACTATATATTGTTATAGTTATTCACTAATTATTGTTTTTAAAAACTGTGAATTATCAATGCTCTTGAAATTTTAAAAATAATACCTCTATTTACCAGGACAAGAATAAATGGGGATTTATATCTTTTTTCATCATCGTTTAACTTTTATTCAGTTACATTGTCATTACGTAAATGATTTAATTATTTCCATACATTTACTGTTATCAAAAAGGCAAGTACGTATGCCAATTATAATAAAATATAATCCAATTAACCAAATTACATTAACGAAGACTGCAAAATGATGAAGGCAATCCATATTTCATTTTTAAACATTCGAAATTACATTTTTTGTGCTGTGTTAATTAGGTAGGTAATTATAAATAATTTTTTAATTAAGTTGTAAATTGTGTTACGTACCTATAATTGCTTGTGTAGAACATGGGCATACTAATATTTAACTATATTTTTAAAGGGGATGAAAAATCCTGTAGTGTTAATGCACTTATGGCTCTAATATCCTTAACTTTGCCATGTCTAGAACGAATATATAAAACGAATTGCCCCAAACACTCGCATAATATCATATACATCAGGAACTGCAAACTGTTTTAGTATCATACGGCGCAACGTATAGGCAATATTGGTACATTTCTATGGTAAAATAAAACATTTAAACTTTAAAGTATACATTATTAGAACATGGCACTTCGTTGTGTGTTTATTTTTTTGTTCACGGATACCTATCTATAAAAGATTGGAAAGTGATTTTGGATGTGTATACAAAAATGTACGTACTTGCGTGAAGTATGATTGATTTTTGATATGTTGTTCGTATGTGTTATTCTATTCAAATTATGATTTTTGTAATTTTTTTTATATAGGTACGTACTTGATGACTACACTTTGAAGTATTTATTATTTTTATACTATTTAAGAAGTGTCCTATTGTTCTTCCAACATTTTCCAAATGAAAAAAGTGGCTAATCATGCTTGGCGAATCACTCGTACACCATTTTATTTTAAAATATTTTTCTGTAACCCTATATATAAATAAAATATTTTTCGATTTGCGTGAACCAAAATTAAATTCATGTGTGAGTCATCCTAGGTATTTCGAAATCATATAACACTTGAAATATACAAAAATCAGAATAATTTCTTTATTATGGATAAAAATGTAGATGGGCATACTCGATGAAACACAGTGCATTATAATATGTTATTACTAGTTTATAACCAGACTTTGCTTAGGAAAAAATTAATAAATATAGTTTTTAACAATCACCATAATTGTTTAAAAAAAATATAAATGCACTGACTAACGTGCATTATCAATTTAAATGTTTGTTAGCTATTATATATTTTAATATTTATATCACTATAACATAATAATGATACAACAATGGTAATAGGGGTTGGATTGTTGAAAATCCTTTTTTAGTGGATCTCTACATCATAAAGCTGCGATACAGACCAAATTACTAAAATTATTATTACCAAAATCTCATAGCTTCAGTGGTTCCAGTTAGGTGGTGATGAATCAGTCAGGACATGTTCTTTTATATGTATAGATAAATGATAGTTAGTACATATAAATAATTTAATAGCAAAAAAGTTATAACTCGAGATAGGTCTTGCGTTAAACATGTCAAATAACAGCAATATAATAAAAACTATTATAAGTTATTATATTCAGTATTTTGACCTAAGTCAGTTGTACCTATGGTATTTTGAATACTACTTATGTGTTAAGTTCGCCTAAATATTCACGCGTTTTCAGAATTTTTTTTTAACTTTAAAAAAATAAATAAAATATTAACTAATAATATTAAATAC